ATGGCTCAACTGTTAAAAGCACTGGCTGTTCTTGGAAAGGACCTGGGTTCAACCCACATGGAGGCTAACAATCGTCCATAACTCCAATTCCAAGGGATCTGACACCTTCATCTGATGTCTGAGGGCACTGTGACATGGTGTACTTACACACATGTAGGGAATACCTTCACATACACAAAACAAAAATAATAAAACTTTCTAAAAAAGAATGAAATTAGACCCATATTCCCTGGCCTGCACAAAAATCATCACCAAATAAATCAAACACTTCAGTGTGAAAACTGAAATGCTGAGACTGCTGGAAGCAAACACTGACAGTGCCCCACAAGATCAAAGATCAGAGGAGGACTTTCTTAATTGGACTGTATTGGCTCAGAACTGAAGGCCAAAAATTGACAAATGGGACCTCATTAAAGTAAAAAGCTTTTGTACAGCAACAGTGAACTGAGTGAAGAGGAAGTCCACAGGGTGGGAGAGAATTTTGCCAGCTATACATCTGACAGAAGATTAATTTCCAGAATATACGGATAACTCAGAAAACAAAGAATCAAGAAAACAAACTACTCAATTAAAACCGTGTACAGATCTGAACAGAGTTGTCAAAACAAGAAATAAAAGTGGCTATGAAATACTTTCAAAGGTGTTCAATATCTTTAGTAATTTGGGAAATGCAAATTAAAACTACCTTAATATTTTATTTCACCTCAGTCAGTTTGGCTAAGAACAAGAAAATATCTGAGCACAAACACTGGTGAGGATGTCAGGAAAGGGGAGCTCTTCTTATTCACCGCTGGTGGGACTGCAAACTGCTGGGCCACTATGGAAATCAGTATGGAGAATTGTTAAAGATTAAAAATACTTCTACCAATGATCCAGCTATAGCATTCCTTGGCATGAGGTACTCAGTTTCCTACTACAGAGATACTTACTTAGCTGTGTTTATTGCAGTTCTTTTAAAAATTGCTAGGAAACGGAAAGCACCTAAATGTCCCTCAACTGATGAATGGATAATTACACTGGGGTACATTTGTGCAATGGACTTCTACTCATCTGTAAAGAAAAATTATATCATAAAATTGGCAAATGGATGGAACTTGAAACCTCTGCTGTGTGAGGCAGCCCAGATTCAGAAAGACAAGAAATGCATGCTTGTTTCTTATTTGAAAAAAATATAATTGAAGTAACTGCAGGAGCCAGGGAAACAGAAAAGAATCATGAGGACAGTAGAACACAAGTGTTATCAAGGGGGAAATGGGGAAAAGGGGGTTCTCTAATTGGGAAGGGAGAAGGGAGAATTATATAGGGGAAATAGAGAGGAGAGAAACAATTTTAGATGGTATGAAAAACCAACGGGAATGTATTATTTCATAAATGTACTACTAAATACACATGTAATATATTTATGACTGCATGCATATAGCTTACATATATAACAAAAATCACAGTGCTAGGCAAGGGAAACCTCCATTCAAGTTGTTGGTCATAGTAGTTCAAAAGACTCCAAAAATAATAGAGGCTAGTTCCACGGTTCTTGATTGCCTCTTAGACCTTGAAGGTAAGACCCTCTTACTGAAGACATGATGTATTTCGGACACTGGTCTCTGAGCAATTGAGGTAGTACTGATCTGAAAGTATCCTCCCTGAAGACTAGTTATCACAGTATTGGAAGTTGCTGTGCAAGTTAATAATGGCTTAAACCAATCAATGGTCTGACTTAGCTGTAAAGCATATGAACCACAACAATGACTGGTCCAGAAAATTATCTCTACTGGTGCAAAAGTGACATTTTTATCTTTGGGCTAATCAACAGCTGTTTAATTAGAATTAAGGCCCACAAAATAGGAGGATATTCATGCATGGTGCTGTAAACATAGCTAAGTACACAGGCAGGCATAGAAGGGTCACAGACCCTAGAGAAGAGCCTACTATTATCATTTTCCTAAAGCACAAGTATTCATTACTATATTTTAAACATTTTACTTATATTAAGAGACAAGTGTAGCTCTCACCACTAGTCAAGGAAGCATCTTCTTGCAACATATGGACACTATTACAGAGCTCCACAACTGGTTAAAATGCAGAGAATAAGTGACTGTGAGGTGTCCAACCTTGGTGATACATCTCAAATGCAACCCTTACATCTAAGGTTCAAGTCCCATCCAGTCAAACATTTTAGCTGGATGTCCTTTGGTGCCAGTTCATCCACTGGAGTCTAGTCAGCCTATCTAGAGATCTTAAGGAAGGTCTACTCTCCCTCACCCAGCAGTAATCAGTCTCCAATAGTTCTCTGGCTAGGGCCGGCACACTGCCCATTTCCCTCTCAACACTCTGGGCCCTTGTCTGATTGAGTAGGCATGGGTGTTGTGCTTGACGCCACTATTGCCATGTGGGTGGCACTTTAATTATAGCAAATTATACATGGGTGGATAAGTTATAGATCTCAGAGAAACTCCTATCTCTGTCATATATCTAGACAAATGAAATTTCTTATCCTATGCTAAATATGGATTCTTATATTTACAGACAAGTGTACAGTACATCACTCATCACAGAAGCTTCTCTTTGCAACAGATGGAGGCTACTGCAGAGTTCCATAAGTAGCCACACAGAGAATATATGTCTGAGATGCCCAGCGCTAGGTAACATATCTCCAGTGGAATCTACACTACTAAAGCTCATGGAACTTAGTGGAACAGGGGGGTGGAGAGCACAATAGTGTATCCCTCAAATCTCACCAGCAAAGCTTCCTTATACAAAAGAGTGTGATGCACACAGCTGACTAATGCCACAACTAACTAAGGTGTAGAAAATAAGAGACTGCAGAGTGTGTGTCCTTGGATGGGACTTCTATATTACTCCTCACCCACCCACAGCTCAGGGACCACTGCAGAAAAGAGGGGCAGAAAGCTTCTAAGAGGCAAGGTTGGTCTGTGAACATAGGGAAACAGAGGCTTTCAGGCCACTGGAAGTTTGTACATTTCACATTTTTATTAAAGAGAACTCTATTATGCTGTTTGGGAAATCAAAAATTTTAAATGCTGAGTCATCTCTCTGGTCCCACATTAAGAAATTTTTATTTATTATTTTTATGTGTATGTGTGTATTGCCTGCTTGTAGGTAAGTGCTCCCGTGTCGTGCAATGCCCACAGAGGACAGAAGAGACTGTCGGGTCCCCTGGAACTGGAGTTATGGACAGTTGTTAGCTGCCATGTTGGTGC